TCGTCTGCTCTGCCATTTGAGAAAACTGCTGTCCACTTTCATGCACAAAATGTAGCTTTACAGCAATTTCTCTCATGGGACGACCATGTGTTATCTCAGTGGAACAACATAGAACATTAGGTAGCTTGAGCTATAGTAATTTAACAACACTCTTAACCATGCTTATATGAAATGTGGACACATGCTCGAGTAACAGACAAATTTCGAAAATTATATATTAGATAAGAAGTTAAAAAATATATAATATACTTGCATACCACATTTATTGGGGAATCTGAGAAGAATGAGGAACAGAGTTGTAATGAAGAAAAAAAAGGTGAAATGGCTCCCAAGATTAAGTTATTGTTCTGAAATATGAGTAACATACAGTTTTGTTTAAAAAAAAACTCTTTAGTGAATTATAACATAGTTGATGTAAGTCACTTGTAAAAATTTTGCTTTATTAATTCTATTTTTATTATATGTTAAAGTATAGATAGAGAGGTATTGACCTGGTTTTTAACTTGAATATTTATTTGTCTTAACTATGTTCCAGTACACTTGTCACACATAAAAGTGCAGACGAAATTAATATTTACTTCAAAGGGTCTATTATTTTTGGATTTCAGTTTAAAAAATTCAAATCTTTATTAAAAGTAATCATAATGAAACATGAAATACATTTTGACTGTGGTTGTTATTCAATTACTAATCTTAATATACTTCCAAGTTTACTTTTAGAAACGTTTTCTCTTCTCATTTAAACAAAAAACAAAATAAAATGCACTATACAATAATTTTAAGAACTCTACACTTAATAAAGCTAAATAACTAGTTTTGAAACAAGTTTAACTTGTCTATTGTCAGACAATTTTTTTCAGTAACAGGATTTACAGTTAGAACCCGTAGAGCAAGTATTGCTTATGACTAATGCTGTAAGATTACTGACATGCTTTAACTGTAATTAATTTCAGAACTGTTTCACTGTAAGCTTTATTTCCAAGTTTTAAAATTTTCAAAATATCATGACCAAGATTATTATTATTTAAAACATTATGATGTGCATCACGAAAATTTAAGTAGCTTAAAGTTATAAATAGCCAAAGAGAATTTATGTAATAATAATGATAGTTTGAGAAGCTCCTAAAAATAAAATATACAAAAAAACATAATTTACAAATATTATCACTATATTTTAAGATCTGATAAAGAGAATTAACTCCGAATTAAATTTTGCTTGATGATTTATAAACTATTTGATTATCTATTAACGCGCCCCCCAGTGGCACAGTGGTATGTCTGCGGACTTACAACGCTAGAATCCGAATTTCGATACCCGTGGTGGGTAGAGCATAGATAGCCCATTGTGTAGCTTTGTGCTTAATTACAAACAAACAAACAATCTATTAACGCACGTTTATCTATGTAAAATGGAAGAATTTTCTTATAATTTCATGTTCTATCTGAAGGCCCGGCATGGCCAGGTGGTTAGGGGCGCTCGACTCATAATCAGAGGGTAGCGGGTTCGAATCCCTATCACACCAAACATGCTCGCTCTTTCAGCCGTGGGGGCGTTATAATGTGACGGGCAAACCCACTATTCGTGTAGCTTTGTGCGAAATTCAAAAACAAACAAACAATTCTATCTGAAAATTTTCAAGATCGGTGTTATGTTTTAAGAACATTTAATTTTTATGCTCTCTTTTCATAGGTTCAATATCCTAATATGACCTTAAGAACAATTCATTTTATATAAAAGAATGAAATTTACCTTGTTTTCCAATATATTGACCACAGAGTGATAAAACTGTAATAATTACTTTACATAGAAAAAAGTAAGAAAATTTATCAGTTGATTTCTTCTTCCATTTCTTTTTAGTGTCATATTCATACAAAGAATAGATTTAATGAAGAAATTTGTGTTTTTAAAACAGTAAAACATGTATTATACCACAACCTATTTGCTTCATATAAATGTCAATTTGACCTCAAAATTAATGCTTTTGTTTGGTTCAGACCATTCACACTATGAAAATTTTAGGTCATTAGGTCCACAGCAGAACTCTGACAAATCATAATATGCATTTCTCTTCATATTCTATGGCAGCTTGATTGATTTATATTGAATCTTATACAGGGATGGTACGAAATAAGCTTGGTTAAGTATAAGAGGTGAGAGAATGATCTAGATGTGTAATTTGGGGAGTAATTTGAGTGGGTGCATTAATGGAGTGTAGTCATGATTAAAGAAAAAGATTCCTCAAGCAATCTATATACATAACCATACACATAGGTTGAATCTTATTCTTGGTGACTGAATAGAAACATCTGTGAGCTTCCTTCTTTAGTACACAGTATTAAGTCATTTAACACGTACACTACCAAAACTGAGGATCTTCAAGTTCTAGCACCTAGCATTAGAACGAGCTGCTGTAACCAGGTGGTTTAAATGATATTGTTAATTTTCAAAATTAAGCCTCACTATGGAAATCTGCTCGTTATTTAACATGTGCTGTCAGAGAGCACTGACTGAGATGCAGCAGCTGAAGCTATAAAACTGTAAGGCAAGTTTTAGATTTGTTGTTCTTCTCCATATCGTAGAGCAGGTTATCCTGCCACCAGCAGTCTATTAGATCAGTTTCAGTCTAGTTGATTTCAGAAGCCATGCTTGTTCGTCTAATCAACAAGCAACGAACTATAAAGCATGTGACTTGATATCTTTCCTCCAACCTTTTGATGATGCCAAGTGTTTTCCCAGTCTTATGATATTGAGACGATTTTAGAAATGAATGTGAGTAAAAATCAAGGACGATCTAGACGAGTTCAAAAAGGTATCACCACGACTAAAGCACTTTCTGACAGACTCCACAATTGGGAAAAATAACGTGGAGAGTTCTAGCAGTACATCTTTTTTTTTAATAAAAAGCCAAAGTAGAATACCTTGAAATAGTAAACAGATTTATTTCTGAACTTGATAGGTGCTTTCCTGAGAGTAAGCCTCTCCTGAAAATAATTTCTGCATTTGATCATGATACAGAAGACTTTCTTTTACAATTTTAGCATCTTTCTCACATTGTACATTCTTACGAGAGCATTGGTATAGATGACATTCTTCTTCAGACTCAAACTATTGTTACCAACAGACACATTTTTAAAGAAATGTTAAAAGCCAAAAGATCTGTTTTAGTTTCACGAAGAATTGCGACCTTTACAAATTGTATACTCTGAATTACTGAAAATCATCAAGTTAGCCACTACTCGTCTAGTAACCACTCCAAGCAATAAGTGTCTGTTTTCTGTTAATAATAGAAATGATCAACATGAAAAACTGATACTCTTCAAAAGTTTTAAGTATCTCATGGTCTTTATGAGATATACGAAGGTCGAGTACAGATCTTGCCCACAGCTTTGTTCTAAATACAGGTGTAAATATTACCTTCAGAATAGTAAACAGAAGATCACATTAGCAAGTAATAGTTTCAGAGGAAGTGTAGCTACTCTAAGACCGCTGCTGAGAAGAGATAACCAAACCAAGATTGAAATGATCAGTAAAAACCAAAGACAGTTTGTTCAACGACCAAAATGATAACGGTATGGTCGTCAATGTACGTCTACAGTGAATCATAGATATGGATCAGTTCAAACTTGGGCTGTGCCTCAGCTAAAGGTGTTGGTGGTATACACAAAATTAATAGTACCCTGACTGATGACAAATTAAGCAGGCTCAAATCCCCAGTAAATTGGTGTATAAAAACATGTAGATAAAAACGTATAAAAGTTCAGGCTGTGTAAATCTAGTCATGGGTGTTTAAATTATTTGTCTGAAGGTTTAGGACTCTGAATATTTAACTGTTGCTAAATGAAACATGCTAGTATAAAACTTTTCCTTAGTTGATGGTAATGGAAGTCCTGTAGCTCTGTTACGCTTTATTATACAAATGTGTTGGTACGTTAAGTTCAAAAACTTAAGAAGAAACTCTAAAACCCTAGTTATTTTTTCACCTTTTAGTGAATAGGTTGAAATAGGAAAATCTACCTTTCAAAAGCACTCGGTTATCAGGTTTTTTATTAAGTGGTTCATGAAATTTTGTGGTTTCTTAATACCCGAATTTATAAATTTACATTTATTCTGGTTTGTTTTGTTTGTTTGTATAGCGCAAAGCTACACAATGAGCTATCTGCATTCTGTCCATCACGGTGAATCGAACCCCGAATGTTATCGTTACAAGTCCGTAAGCTTATATCTGACCCACGGAGAAACCATATGGCTTGAAAATTGTACTTTGCACTCTGTTGACAGCTGTTTGATGAACGAACACAAATCCTTATCTTTTTGCTTAAAAGCATTGTGATTACAAAAGCTTAATGAATAGTCTTACTCATAGAAGGAAAAACAACAACAATGAATCAAAGAAAAGAAAACTTGCCATTTAAACCTGAAAATGTACATTATCGAAAAGTTTTCATCAAGAACGACTCTTTACCTTGTTTGCTTGATCTTGTATATTAATGACTAGTTTGCCCTAAAGTGAATTGGAACTTTTTCAGAAACTCACAGTTTGTTACATAGATGTGTGAGCCCAAGAATGAGTGTGATGGTAAACTACGAATGGTTATGTTTGCTTGACTATTTAAAAATGTTCTTATATAAATACGTCTTGTGAACCTTTAAAAGTATTCCAAAGAGAAGAAGATTTTATTAGCTTTGTATTTTTCTAAAAGTGAAATTCTTTTCTAAATAAATACACATAGAATCATAAAATAAAACTCATTGTCTTAAATCAGCGCTTTTTTTGGTATTCACCTACCAACCAATGAAATGTCAGGAACATTTAGTGGAAGTGAAATGTAACAAAAAATTGTTCGAAACTGTGGGCTTATAACGTTAAAAGCCTGATTTCGATACCTACGGTGAGCAAAGCACAGATAGCCCATTGTGTTATTTTGTGCTTAGCGATAAATAAACGAAGGAACGAAATAACGTTTAAAATTGAGATATTCGGAACAGAAAGGTAACAAACAAGTAAAAGGAGAACAGGTCTAATACAACACCTGAATTGGTTTATCGACCTTAACTTACCTGTTATCAACTGGATACTATTGAGGTCAATTGACCAACTGATTTCTTTTAGATGTGAAAACTGACTTTATAGTGAACACTTTGTTCTAGTGTTAATTAATATCCTAAGCTTTATTTTATGTTCAGTGAAATATCATGATTATCGAAAATTACATGTTTTGTATATTTTATGTATAGATAGAAAATAGTAAGTGAACTGCACAGGGTTACCCAACATGGAGAGAAAATAGTAAGTGAACTGCACAGGGTTACCCAACATGGAGAGAAAATAGTAAGTGAATTGCACAGGGTTACCCAACATGGAGAGAGAATAGTAACTGAACTGCACAGGGTTACCCAACATGGAGAGAGAATAGTAACTGAACTGCACAGGGTTACCCAACATGGAGAGAGAATAGCACAATTCAGATATTCAAAACTACTATTCAAGTCAGTGACATGGGAAGGAATTGCAAAGTGGGGATCCCTTTTTAGATATGCTAATTTTACAATGAAAGTATAAGGATCTGCTAAAAGCAGCTCCCGTGCTACCGAAGGCAGCTCAATCTACGTGGGTCTGTGGGTGTGGCCCCAGAAAATAACATAATTTACAGTTACTATATAACTCAAATATGCTACAGCATCCCCGGTTCCGACACCTCTGCAAAGCAAATAACAGTGCAGAGAGGATTTGAAAAAAAATGCGTTTTTTCAAACACACTGGGTGAACGTCATCCACACGAGTCCATACTGACTTTATGAGAGTAAGAGCAAATTTTTATTTGTTGCGTGTATACTTGAAATTACAAAAACTCGATAGTATTTTATTCTTGGATGATAGTTTCGATTTTTGTTAAAAATTGATCTTTAAACATACACACATTTTTCAAACCTTTCGTTATGAAAAAAAGTCTTTCCACTGTGGTATGGTTTACTATGATTGTTGTTGTTTGTTATTAAGCAAAACGCAACACAAAGGGCTATCTGTGCTCTGCCCACCACGGATATAGAAACCCGATTTCTAGCAGTATTAGTCCTCAGACATACCCTTGTTCCTCATTGGCACATACTATGACCATAGAGAAACTACGGTCTCGAGCAGTATATAGGCTTTCATCAGTTGAGTTAGGCCAATAATAATAATACGGTCTCGAGCAGTATATAGGCTTTCATCAGTTGAGTTAGGCCAATAATAATAATACGGTCTCGAGCAGTATATAGGCTTTCATCAGTTGAGTTAGGCCAATAATAATAATAAGTTTACGGCCGAAAATATCGTTACCAGCGATGGTACCCAACTGATGAAATAAAACATTTTCAATCTTTATAAGTAAGAGGTTAAAAAAAAACAGTATATCCAACTACCAGATTGATTTTTAGTTCAGATCTAAGTAGGAAAATTTCTCTGGTCGAAAGTTGATAATGTATCTTTAAGTCATTTCATTTAGAAAGAGAGTTCGAGGTCATTCAGCTAGTTTTAATACTCAAGTTTTATTCGCCTTAGTAATACTTATATACGAAAGCGTGACTTGCCGGTTTTGTCTTTTGTACTAAACTAAACACTCTGCCATTCATTTTCTGTTACTTTCATTACAAATGGAAGGTTTTCCCCTGCATTTTGTTCATAATCGGTGTTGTTATCTTGATCTTTGTGGCGTATAGCTGTGTATACTACGTATATAGCTTATTTTCTGCAATTTTGTACACGCCAAGCGTTCCAATTTTACCAATAAAACGTGTAAACGTGACTTTGTCAAACTTTTGTGGACAAATATGTGAAAGTAAGATATCGCGGTTTTCGCCCTTTTGTGCCTTTTCCTACTGAAATTAAAATGGGAGTTTATCTGTTACCTCTGTTGCTCTATCTTTGTTATTTGTTATGAAACACCTTCTCAGAGAATATGAGATATAACAGGTTTAACGTTGTACTGAGTAAGTACTGGAAGTGATTCACTAGCAACTTAAGCGAATTTGTATGTTTTTTATTTTATTTTATCGACCCATCTTTACCTCACGTATTACAAGTACTGTTTTTGTTCTGTGATTTGATGGATTTTGATAGACAGGTTGATCTTTTTCATCCATATTACTTTTATTCACCCAGATGTATAATACTTATCAACTGTAATTGTTTTGAAATGAGATAAAATTATAATTTGTCATAACGTTTGTTGAGTATAGCAATGAAAGGAAGAACAAGTATGATTATCTTGATTTAGACTGTCGTGGCTCGTTAAAAGGTTGTACGTAGAAGATATCTTTCTAGCATTAAAACGGGACAGGGTTGTAAAACTGGATGTTCGAAATATTACGGTCGAACAAATAAAACAAACGTATAGTGACTCAGAATTCGTGGGCCACCATTGGCACAGCGCCATGTCTGCGAAATTACAACACTAGAAACCGGATTTCGATACCCGTGGTGGGCAGAGCACAGATAGCCCATTGTAAAGCTTTGTGTTTTACAGCAAACAAACTTTAATAATTTTGATATACGTAGATGCTTTTCTTTGATAGAGAAAATACCATTGAATAAAACTGCACTTTTCTCGTAGATGAAAAATTATTTAACAGGGAACATTTAAGAAATTTTCAGAGCTGCACAAACCAAAGATTAAAATGTGTACAACACTGCAACGTCCACGGAGAACGCTGAACTTTATTTTACATATCTTTTATTTATTGTTTATTTCTTTCTTTGTTATTAAACCCAAAGCTACACAATGAGCTATCTGTGTTCTGCCCACCACGATTATCGAAACCCGGATTGTAGCGTTGTAGTTCCGCAGACATATCGCTGTGCCACTGGGGGGTGTTTATTTATCATCGATTTGTTTAATTAGCATGTTTATACGCATAATGAATATGTTATTAAATACGTATGTACTTAGTTATATTAGATATTCATGAAGCTTTTATTAAAATTTTATCTAACGTGGCTAAAATCTACATCATATTGTAGCGTCCGTTATCATACGTAAAATATGTGGTTCGGCAGCTCTCAGGCATTTACAAACAAAAAATGCAATTACACAAAATTCGATTTCCAACTGTACATTTAACTTTTAGAAGCCCGGCAGGGAAAACTGGTTAGGGCTCTCGACTCGCAATCTGAGGGTCGCGGGTTCGAATTACCGTCCCACCAAACATGCTCACCCTTTCAGCCGTGGGAGCGTTATAATGTGACGGTCAATCCCTCTACTTGTTGGTAAAAGAGTAGCCCAAGAGTTGGCGGTGTGTGGTGATGACTAGCTGCCTTCCCTCTAGTCTTACACTGCTAAATTAGGGACGGCTAGCGCAGATAGCCCTCGTGTAGCTTTGCGCAAAATTCAAAACAAACAAACTTTTAGAACTATGAAAAATTATCGGGACTGCAAACATTGAAATAGCCCCTGCTGTGCAATTCGCAAACCACAAACAAATTGTTTGGTTAACAAATACTTCTTTAGTTTCTAATTCTACAAGGAAATCATTAAAATGCACAATTGACCAAATAAGGTCAGATGTATATCCAGGAGCTGTTACTAAATGCAATAAAAATGTAATCCTGATAAATTTTAAAAATAACTTATCGTAAACAATTTAATAAAACTACATTGTTTATGAATAAAGGAACTGAAATACAAACAAACAGACGTTTTGAACGAATTTCTGAGTAATAACTGAAACCAAGTTCTTGGAGAAAAGGGAAAAAATGAGTACAGGTAATCTGTGTTTGGCCTTGACTTGTATAACCCACAATTCGGTATCAGAGTAACGGCAAGGCTAACAGTTAAAACTATGGAATTCTTACTGTCCAACTCGAGGCGCGATGATTATTAAACAATAAAGTTTAATAGAATCCCGACTGAAGTTGGCATTTGTTTGACAATATTTCATACTGGCAAGAATTAAGACCTGTCTAATCAAACCCTACGTTTTAATGAATTACATACTTTAACAGATGTGTTATGTATTTCTTGTCTGTTTTAAATAAGTTGTATTTGTTGTAAAAAAAAGACAGATTGAATTTATTACCATTTTGGTGACATTATTAGCAGATAAATACAGATTTGAGTTAGAGGCTAAAGCTGCAGATTGGATATACGAATATATATATATGATAAAACTTGTAGATTTCATTATTGTAGAAGATCTAGGTTTTAAATGCTAGTAACTTGTAAGAAACTTAAATTTATATCACTGGAATTCTGTTTTATTATAGATGCCTGGAAACTACAAATATGTAAGGAAGGATAAAAAAAAACTATTCTACCTAAAAATTACAAAGATGTAAGAAAAGATAACAACTTTTCTCCCTGAAAGCTACAAACATGTAAGGAAAAATGAAAAATTTTCAACCTAAAAGTTTCAAAGATGTAAGGTATGACAAAAACTTTTCTGCCTGAAGGTTACATATATCTAAGGAAAGATAAAAACTTTTCTGCCTGAAGGCTACATATATGTAAGGAAAGATAAAAACTTTTCTGCCTGAAGGCTACATATATGCCAGGAAAGATAAACACTATTCTGCCTAAAATTTACAAGATGTAAGAAAAAATAAAAACTCTTTTCTACTGAAAGCTACAAAGATGTGAGGAAAGATAAAACACTTCTACCTAAAAGTTACAAAGATGTAAGAAAAGATGAAACTCTTCTGCCTAATTGCTACAAGGATGTAAGGAAAGATAAAACTATTTTGTCTGAAAGCTAAAAATATGTAAAGAAAGGTAAAAAAATAAACTATTCTGCCTAAAACTTACAAAGATGTAAGAAAATATAAAAATCTTCTGCCTGCAAGATACAAAGATGTAAGGAAAGATCTTAACTCTCTTTTTTTTAATTAGCATCGAAATCAAATCAAATTATTTACGTGTTTGTCGAGAAAAAATTAATTTAAAAACAATGTTAGTAAGTTTGATTAATTGTATCGGAGTTGTAAATGTTGAAAGAGTTTCGTAATTCAATGATGTATTGTATGAGATCAAGCCTTCAGTATAATATATTATAAGTTGATAATCGAAGATACAATATTCTAAGTTTAAAAGCATATTGATAAACATAGGAAACATCAAAGTTACCGTATTTT